ATACACATACATACATATATATATATATAAACCAAGTATATATATAATGCAAAACCAATCCTTTGATTATTTATCTTATGTCTGACTCTAGTATTGTACAAGGTCCAGGGCTCAAGAGAAGGTGGAGATGGTGTCATGAAACTTTATTGCTTGCAACGAGAAGTTTAGGAGGATGGTTTGAGTTGCTGTTGGCTTTATGAGAGCAGAGGGCAGTGCTGGGCAAAGCTGCTAAGGCAGGAGGGGTCAGGTATGTTTAGCTGAGTGGTCTCAGAGTAGTCAAGGAATCTGGACTTGATGTATGTCTGTGGCTCTTTCAGCATTTTTTATTTACTATTGTCTGGTTTTAGGCAGAGACCTCCTAAGTGTCTCTTCAGAGGCTTAACTTCGCAGATATTTTAAAAAGTGATTATTTGAACTGGTAGAATTGTTGCCGCTTCTACAGGCCACAGATCTGGGTCTTGGGTCTTTGCAATATCATTTCTTTTATAAGTCAGGCTTCCTTTGCATTTTGTCAGCAGTTTGGCTGCCATTTTCCCCTCTTCACTACATCTGCTCTTGCTGGAGGCAATAGGCAATGGCCACAATTTCATCCCGTGGCCCAATCCATCCTTGAGAGTGCTTCCAGTTCTCAACTAGATGCTGGTGATTTCCAAACCTGTGTCCCCTAGCTGGGCCCCTGTCCTGAGATCAGAACCCATCAATTTGATCTAATGCTGATTTAGACAATTCCATTTGGATTTTGTGCAGGGATGATAAGCTTTTGGTAAAACCTATGCAATCTTGCTTTGAATTGCATTTCTTCTTTTAAATATTGCAAAAAGGTAGTTACTGTTTAGGGTTTGATTTTATAGTTGTCTTACGAAAGAGTTCTATTTTTGTAGCAAAATACATGAAATTATTCAGAATGCTCAAATCTGCCCCTTCTTCTTTGGGGTTCCTTGACTTGGCATTTTTCATTTCTGTTCATCCAAATGCCCAATCCTGTGAGTCATCTCCTTCCTACCCACCAAACCCCATCAACCATCATGTCCAGCATTATAACCTTCTATGTCTCCCCCTCATACTAAAGAAGTTATTTTTTAAATTTCTACATTTGGGGACTGAGATGAAAAGATAAAGCAGTTCTCAGTCTATATTGAGAGTTTTCCTTTGCCTGGTTATTTCCATTAAAATATAAGCAAAGATGGTGGATGTAATTTGGTTAAAAAATTATAATGTATCAATCATAACACAACTCATGTTTGTACTTAAACTTGTCTTCCTAAGAAAATTGGAGAAGTTGAGTCAATAGTGGTTAGACACTTCCGCTGCTTCTCTAGCAGAATTTTAGGAAGAATAGGCCAATAAGATAAAGCCTGTTCCCCCTTCAGTGGTTAAGGCACCAGGGCCAGCTGTTTTTGCTTGGATAGGAATTGGTGAGATGGCATTTGAACAAGTCCTGAGTCTACTCCTTTGGTTGGTATTCTGTCCATGCCATTAGCATGAGGTCCTTAGACCAACATTACCCATCTTGCTCTTTTAAGATGGAAAAGATGTGGACTCCCATAGCTGACCATGTTTTGTGGACCATGTGCTTGTGTGTGTGTGTGTGTGTGTGTGTGTGTGTGTGTGTGTGGCAATTTTAAGTGTTAGTTTTTAAACTATTAACATAAGGATCTAAAAGTATCCATTAACACTGCCTCTGCTGTAAGGTGCTTCATTGGGAGGGGAGTTTGCAGGTTCATCCAGAGGCTCCTCTTCAAGGCCTCAAGTCACAAGTCTATCCTGATGTGCTCGCATCTGCAGCTCCCACCCAGACCCCTTCCTGAGCTCTAAGCTTGCAAATTATCTGCTAAAAGGACATCCTCATTTTGGATGTCCTGTAGGCTCCTTGAGTCCAACATGTGACAAACTCCTCAAACCACTCCATCTTGTGTGTTCTTTACCTCAGTGAGCAACAGAATCATCTATCCAATCTCCAAGTCATAAAAAGTGTTACACTAAGCATCTCTTTCTCTTTCACCCTCACATCCAATAAACGACCATGTTCTGTGGACTCAACTGTGAATGAAACTCCAATACAAACCTTTCTCTTTCTGCCTATTCCTCCTGGGCCATCACCTCTCACACACAGAAGCTTCCTCCAGATGGTCTCCCTCCCTCTAGCGGGGCCCTACTGCACCATTCTCCAGGATGCTACCACAAGTCTGGTTATTTTTCTTTCTTGCTTAAAAACCTTCAGTGGCTCCCTCTTCCCCACAGGAAAAAGGTCAAATCCCATACAGGCGTTACGTAATCTGGTCTCTGAATACTTCTCTTGGTTCCTCTCTCTCAATCCCCCTCCCATACTCTATGTTCTGGCCTCACTGCGGCACTTTTACTTCCTCCAACATGCCATGTTTTTTTTTTCTTTTTTTTCATTCAGGTCTTGGCCAGTGCATTTCCTCTGCTCAGAACACTTTGTGCAGACCCTCCCTCTTCTTTGCACTTGACTAGCTCGTGGTCTTAGCTCTGAGTGGGCGCCTCTGAAAACTCTTCCAAACACCCCTCTCTCCCATCCCATCCCTCACAGTGCTCCCATTATACCGGGCTTGCACAAATGGAAGCATCAACCACTTTCTATTTAATTATCTGTTCACTTGTCATTCTTTCCCTCTATACTATAATCTCCTTAGATGGCAGGGGCAGTTTCTTGTTCACTCTTGAATTCTTACTGTGTTTGATATGGGGTGGGCACTCAATAAACATTTTTGGATGGCACGTTGCAGTCTGGACTCTTCAGTTCAACATACATGATGAATAGGCAGGTTTTCATCATGGCTACCCATTGGTGCCCACTTGCAATGTGGCTCCACCACGCCATCATCCACTACCAGCATGTGAACAAATCTCTCAGGAATAACATACAATTATGGCACATACCGATTTTCAGCTTTTTTATTGTTATTCATTCATTTATCTATTTATCTATTTATCTATCTATCTATTTATTTATTTATTTATTTACTTACTTATTTATTTATTTTGAAGTAAGCTTCACGTCCGACGTGGGGCTGGAAGTCACAACCTTGAGATCAAGAGTTGCATACTCTACTAACTGAGCCTACCAGGTGCTCCCCCGATTTTCAGCTTTTGACCCTGTTCTCAATAATTAGTTATAGGCAAAACTGTTTGAGTGCAAGATAAAGCCTTAATTTGACACACTTTGAACCCTAATATTATTTTAAGTGTCAGGGACAGGATGGTCTTTTGATGGATCAGACAAATAGGTCCAGAAGGATAAAACAAAGCTATTTTTGACCCTCTGCTTTTTAGTCTGTTCCTAATTAACTCCTTCTCTATTTCTTTATATCCTCAATTCTCTACAGAATCAGAAAGGTAAAATTCTGTGACTTGTGGGAATAACAAGAACCACTACCTAATTATTGCCACAAAGAAAGTCTCCATATTAAAAATTACTCTATAACGAAAGTCATCATTTCTGTGGGGAGAAGAAATCTAGTATTTAGCCAATTCCTAGGCAATAATTCTGTTGGATCAGTTCATCCAAATGAGACACAGGAAAATTAGATATTCTGAGGTAGATTACTTAGATTTATTTATTTATTTATTTTTGGTTGTTGAAAACAGGGAGATGGGTATTTAAATGCTTACTTTAAATTTTCCCAGCATTTGTGGCACTCCACTGTATATTCATCTGTCAGTGGAGCGGCACTTTTTTTGTTTTTCCCAATGAGGCAGTTCTTAGCCCTGTCCGTAGGTGCTCCCTGGAGCTTACAGTGCATTTCATTCAAGCTCCTGAGGGGATGGTCAGCTCTCCCTGTGGCCCAACTGACCACCGAGACAGGGGCCATGAGGAGAGCACACCAGGATGCTTCTCTGGCCTTGTCACTGCCACACCGTACCCACCAAAGGCTAGGCCAGAAAGACTACAGTTGCAAAGGATTGTCAGCTTTCAAAATTTGAAAAGTGACAGAATTACCCCCATACTTATTCATTTGTTTTTTAAAGGAAGAAACATCATGAGCAAGTCTAGTATGTATAACAGATAAAAGTGGAGCTTCCCTTGTTGAAGTTCGGATAAAGGAGAGCATGAGGTAGGAAGGGACAGACTCCCTCCAGCTCCCCTTGCTCTGGGAAGAGGCCAGAGTAGAACTACTTTCTAGAATTGTACCTTGGAATCCTAGATAAGAAATAGCTCTTACTGTAGGATATTGCTAAGGACACTGTTCTCCTCTCATTCAGTGTCCTTTCTGGAAAGATCCATAGAAGAAATTTCTCATAGGTCTCTCTTCCAGGAATCCTTGTGATTGTTTTTGAGTATGTGACTTATTTATTTATTTATTTATTTACGTATTTATGTATGTATGTATGTATGTATGTATTTATATATTTATTTATTTTAATGGGGGCCATGACTTATGCCTCTTTTTACATCAGTCCCTAGACCACACAGCTGATTTTGTAGGCTCTCACCAGCAGTTTCTCAGGACCACCCTGCACACATTTTATGAACTGTAGACATTAAGTGAGGAAGCCAGGTATCATTTCTATCTTATTGGCTTTTTACTCTGATTTTCACTTTATTTTACTGAATCTTCTATTTTACACATGTGAATACATTACCTCAAATTTTTTCTGGAACAAAATGGGATAATGATAAACGTAGATGCATAACTATATTTTAAATATAACTCAAGATATAGCCTTCAGCCACGGCTGTGTGATTGCACTTACCTCATTGGGGTGGAATCCATCGACTGGTTCAATGAGCTGCCAGGGCTCCCCGCCTCTCTTCTGCCACTCCTCTGTCACTGCAGGGCACACACACAACCAGAGGATTAACTGCATGCTTCTATGAGTGACCAAGTGACTGCCATCGATGTTAGAGAGCAAGGACCAAGTGGAAAATGTCAGAGCTGCCCACCACCCCTGGGGCGATGCTTACTCAATTGTGGCTGCTCTGGGCTATTATCTCTGTCTGGAGGGTTTCTGAATGGAAATGATCTTCCCATTGTATGGTCTTCTTCTTTTTCCTAACTCAGGAAGAAAATGTGTGGGGGTATTAGGTGAAGATGGTTTGTGCAGTGAAGAGGGTGGTGAGAAAAGGTGAGCTCTGAAATATTCAACATCAATGTAAATTCACCTCATTTCTCAGTGGGTGAGTATTACAAGAAAAGGAGGGAAAATTAAACATTTTGTTAACATCTCTTTATGTAGGCTGCCATTTCCAGATACTGCCTGTGTATGTCAAGCAATCACCATTAAAAGCCATATAGTTTGCCAGAAATATAATTACATAAAATTATCTTAACATCACATTTAGAGTGAGTATGGCAACAGAGGAAATATTATGAGCCCCAAAGTGATGAAAAGCAATAAAACTGCCCTTCAACAGGAGTAAGAGACCAAGAATGTCAGTTGCTCCAAGGCAACAGCACCGTTAACTCTACAGTGTAATACTACACAGCCAGGAAGAACTCCTCAAGGAAATTTCAAGTCCCTAGAGAGCCTCCAGAAATAAATATTTGAAATGTACTGCTCCCAGCATCACCAATACCTTCACTTCCTTGCTGTCCAGAGAGGGGAGCAAGACATAGATTTTTTCAGTTCTTCCCCCTCCACCTGACAAAGACTCAAGAGCAGGGATGTGCGCTCTCTTCGTTCCCCCATGCCCCTCATCTCACCCCAAGGGAAGGAATGAAAATTCTACTGGAAGCTTTGACTGGGTAAGTGAAGCTTGTTCCAGAGCTAAATCAGTACATTGCTGCTTTTGTAATTAGTCCTAATATCACAGTGTGCCACCCCTGCTTGCTATCCAATCCCTGTACTCTGAGGGGCTGCAAATACTGCTGCTCTTCTCAGAGCTCAGGGAAAAATTCCTGCTGGTGGTTTGAATCCCTAGACACAGGATCACCAATTTCTGTTGTCTTCTTTCCTGGCAAAATGGCTGCCCTTGAGCCATTCCTTCATATTTTGCATCTGGATTTTATTGGGAGTCAGTGACAACATATTCCTTCCTTCCAGGAAACATGTTCCTGCTGCTGCACAAGTCCCCATCCCTCACCACTACGAGGGAGTCCAACTTTAGAAGAACTGGCTTAGCATATAGAATAATCCAGTAAGTGTTAAAATAAATGCCACAGGTTACCAAGGCTACGATCAGACTATTAAGAGTGAAAACCATTGTTTTCTCACATGATTATTGTGTCTGCAAGGGTTACCAGTCATTGCACATCTGCAGACATCAGTTTTATAACACTTAAAGGGAGAATCGATAACTCACAGGCAAGAGGCTAAGGTTTTACCTGTGTTGTGCCCAGTGTTAGACAGAGTGACCCTTTTAAATTTGTTTATCTCAGGGAGAAATTTTGCTTTCTTAGAATAAATGCAACACCAGACAGTGGTCTTATTTCTTCTCTGATTTTAGAGATGGAGGTCCAAGCAGGGGCAGCATGGGAAGGTGGTCTGTTTTCCTCCTACTTGGGACCATAATTAAAAATAGGTAAACAAATTGCTATTTGTTCAGAAGACCCGAATGAAGCTTCTTAAATGATCATGAATGATCTCTCAGGATTTGGTGCATAACGTATTTTCTGTATCTGCAAAGTCAAAGTAACTCTGCTAATGACCAGCTTTTCAAAGATGCAATAGAAATCAATGAGGAAGAGTCACAAAACACTTGATAGCATCTTGATGAACAGTAACACTAGTAGATATTTAAAACAAGAAATCTGAGCTCTGGTCAGTACCGTGAAGTCATTGGTTGTTTTACAAACATACACATGGGAAGAACTAAGAACCCAGTTTACTCCAATTGAGTTGTCTTGGAAACTGAGGGCAGGTGGTATATTTAAGCTGTCAGTGTAAAAATGGCCTTGTCGGCCAAGCAGCATTTTCCTTCCTCTGTTTGGGAGGTGTGGTACAGACAAAGAAAAAGGACATCACCTGCTCAAGCTGGCATTTCCTGAAGGAAGGAAAAATTGCTTCCTGTGTTTAGCTTATAACCAGTGAGAGGATGAGTCAGCAAGAGACAAAAAAGAGTCTTTGGAGATGAGCAATAGCCTTTCACGGTGGGACTGAGGCTGTCAGAGCGGAGAACAGATAGGTCTCATGCCTGGCCTCAAGAGACAGGGACCCTCAGTTGCAATTTGCTCTGCCACAGGGTGTGGACATGCAAATTTTGTATGAAAAAATGAGGATATTTGTGATACAACAGTCAGCTCAAATACAGCACTGAAAGGAGCGGGGAGATTTTCTTGTGACCATTAAGACTGCCGGTTTATTTTGGGATGAGCACTGGGTGTTGTATGGAAACCAATTTGACAATAAACTTCATATATTGAAAAAAAAAAAAAAAAGACTGCCGGTTTAATATGTGGCTATGCAATTTTTGGGTCTGGTAACAGAAGACTGCAGTGCCAATGAGATACATTCTACCACAGCTTCCTCTAGGGAACTCAAAGTGATCCACAGGTATGAGTGGTGATGGGAGGTGGGTTGGATGTTGGAAGAGAACCAACATTTAGTCTCCTTCTATAATAAGCCTTAGAAGAATGTACTAGGTGCTTGGCATACATTGATGGCGGTGGTGGCGGGAGACTAACAGAGTTCTCAGTACATAGCAGAGTTGGCTCTGTGTTCACATAGCAGCCCTCCTCCCCAGCTTAGTTCTTGCTACCTTACACAAAAGGAGACAAAGCAGACTGGTTATTTAATTTACTCAAGGTTGGTTACACAGTCATTCTGTGTCTGAGCTGGGCTAAGGGCACAGTTCTACCTGGGCTCTTTCTATCATAGCACATTGCAGCTACAGGATTTCTGGGACGGTGAGCTGCCCAGGTGTGGCGGTTACCACGGGGATGCATCTGGGAGTGGATCATCCCTCTGCTGTATCAGATGTTCACTGGGGGGCAGATCCCAGGCCACCATTTCCTCTGCCTGCACATCCCTCCACTGTGCCCGCTAACTTCACACGGAGAAGCCAAAGAAGGCCCTCGACCAAAACTGGGTCTTCAGATTTATTTTTCATAAGTGCCTCTCAGGAAATTCCTGAAACTGTTGATGAGAGTTGCCAAGCAAGGACAAATGCCAAGGAGGTTTCTCAGTAATAACCTACTGCCATTTTGGTTTAGAATGCTCAGTTCAGTTTAACTGAACGTTTTGCTTCTTTGATGCATTTATTGTTGCTGTGAGGACAAGAATGGGCTGATGAACCTCAACTTCAAGCCCGTTAGGTCACCAGTGGAAAGCTGGTAGTACTAAGTCAAGGGTAAAGCTCTTCTCTCTGTATCCTTCATGAAGATAAGGACTGTTTTGTTTTTCTGACAGCTGTATCCTTAGCACCTACACGGTACATAGTAGGACTTAGGAAAAATCGGATGACTAACTAAATCTTAATCTTGTAGTATTATAGAGCCCCATTTACTAAATTTTAACATGCATATGGTTCATCTGTGGATTATGTTAAAAGGCAAAATTCCAGTGAGGTAGGTCCTAATTAAAAGTGGGGCCTGGGAGCCCTGCATTTGTAACTAGAGCCCAGGTGGTGTGGATGCTGCTCATTCTGAACCCCACATTGAGTAGCAAGGGTGTGAGGGAACGGTGCTCTTTCCTGGGCACTGACTATGTGTGTACCAGGCACAGCACTTAGGAGAATTACACATTTGTTTCATATAATCATCACAAAGATCTGTTATGAAGATATGGTACCCCCAGTTCCAGGTCTGGAAAGGAGAGTTTAGACATGTTCAGGGAACTGCCTACATTCCCAAAGACAATAAACGACAGAGCTAGAGATTACTTTGGAAAATGAAAAGTCCCATGTGAATGTTAGACATTATTATATTTTTAATAACTTTATCTATATTCAAGGTTGATGATCATCAAAGATCACTTGGTGGTGCATTTGTTTACACCAGGAATTCATTAATGAGTCCTTAGCTCTGCATTTTAATGAGAGGTTATTTATCAAAATGTCTCTCCCCATGAGAGAATTATGTATCACCCGGGCAGGAAATCTAGTTAAGGGAGATCAGTCCTGTTGAAAAGATGTTCAGACTTGAAGTGTTAGAGTGTGCAATGCAGTACTTGTCAGCTAATGTAAAATTTGATAATTCATGATGGCCATCTGCTTCATCCCAGATGCTGGGGCTGGGGTTGTTGGTGGTGGGGAGATGGAGATGATAAACTCTGGATGAGACACCTTCCATCATTTGCATATGCTGTAAAGCTTTCCATTAGCATCATCTCAGCTGGCAGTCAATCAACAGGAGGTTTTTCTCTTGTATAACAAGTGCTTAGCAATGAAAACGAGGCTGAGAGGAATAAAGTCAATAAATAACCATTTTTCAGAGTCAAGATGTAAAGGATAAATCAGTAGCTCCGATAATCATGCCTATTTTTTGCATGGCCGTCCATCAGTGACCCCAGTGTTTGGACAGAATGCTAGGAAAGAAACAGTGATATTCCTTCCAGAAAGCTGGGATATGGATTGTCCACTTTACCACAAGCAAATCTGAGATCCCTCCCTTAAAGACTCTCATAAGTTACACCATGTGTGGGGTCTAGGAGTCTGCACTGCTATTGAGTCTGTTGGTAATTTCATGTGCATCTGGGAGGCACCGCCTTATCCCTCTTTCCTGCCACACTCATCTTTAGGTAAGCAAGGCATTGGTAAACAGGCAAGAATGAGTTAGGTGATTCCACTGATCTGCTGGCTCCTGGCCCAAATTTGTTTCCCACTGGTCCTTGGCTCTGTTGCTTCAGGAATTCTAAAACAATGCTGAAATGAATAGGTGATGGTAAACTTCCACTCTCCCAGAGAGGGTCTCACACTTCACCTTTTTCTAATACTCAGAGCTATTAGTATGTCAGAACACACAGGAGCCTCCCCACCCAACCTACTACCTGTTGTCTTACAAACACTTTGCCCAGTCAGGCTCTAAACTGTAGCTGCTACTTCTGTCTTGTGCCAACACCTCCTTCTAGCAAAACTTACCTTCTTGGAAGTCAAAATCTGCATAGAAAAGATCGAAGTTCGTAAATTTCTGGCTGGTTGCAATATTTTTCAGTGTATTGGAGAGTTGTTTTGCTCTCTGAATACAAAGGAAACAGGGAGAATTCTGTAAAGCCTACACTTCAGTGAGACAATTCAGGCAGAACAAAGAAATTGATAATCATCACCCTCACTCCAAGCCCTTGGCAGTGGGTTGCTCTGCACATTACAGTCTAGTCATGTACAAGTGGCTAACGAAGACACAAAACTGTTAAGATTCATTAGGAATAAATCAGTGAAAATTAAAGTAATAAGATACCACTTCTTTCCCACGGGATTGGCAAAGAAAAGATGAATAATCATGATAATACGGAATATTGCCACGGGAGAGATGACTGAGAATGTCAATTCGTTTAAACTTTCCAGAGAGCAATTTGGAAATAGGAATCAAACCCTTAAACCTGGCATACACTTTGACCCAATAATTTTTCTAAGAATTTGTCTGAAGGAAATAGACAGGGTATAGAAAAAAATATATACACACACAGGTTCATCACAATGCTATTTTTCATATTGAAGAATTGGAAACAACCTATATGTCCAACACTAAGGTGAGAAATAAATCATGGTATATTCATATATTGTATACTTTAAAATGATTATAAAATTATGATGTGGAGAATAACTTATGAATGTTAGAAGGCACAAAACAATATGTGTATTCTGATACTATGTAGGCAAAACCCCCAAAATATCTATGAAGGTAATATTGGAAAAACATACATACATATTGACTTTGGGTGGTGGGATTTGGGGTCATTTGTGTTGATATTCTTTGTGCTTTTTTACATTCTCCAAGTTTTTTTAATTGAAATATACTTCTTTTGCAAAAAAATCAATAAATCTCTTACAAAGAGATTATTCACCATCAGTGAAAGAAGTGTATGAACCATGGATTCCATCAGAGAAGAGAGGAAGGCTATCAAGTACCTGGTCCTCGGGGCGCCTGGGTGGCGCAGTCGGTTAAGCGTCCGACTTCAGCCAGGTCACGATCTCGTGGTCCGTGAGTTCGAGCCCTGCGTCAGGCTCTGGGCTGATGGCTCAGAGCCTGGAGCCTGTTTCCGATTCTGTGTCTCCCTCTCTCTCTGCCCCTCCCCCGTTCATGCTCTGTCTCTCTCTGTCCCAAAAATAAATAAACGTTGAAAAAAAAAAAACTAAAAAAAAAAAAAAGTACCTGGTCCTCGTGTACCTTGGGAGAACACCAGTCATAGATGGGCCTATCCTTGCTCACTTCTCTCTATTTGTACAAATACGCCTAAGACCAGCTTCAAAAGGGGTGTATGTGTGTACATGCATGCACAAGAGAGGCAGGCACACACAGAGACAGTGACCGAGAGACACAGCAAGAGCCAAAGACCCAGAGCGAGGCAGAAAGAGAGAGACAGGGCACCCCACATTCTCTTGACTTCTCAAGAACCCTAGAAGTTGACATTTTTATTCATCGGCTTGGAGGCCATTGCCCTGCCCAAATCCTATTCCCAGCAGAAATGCTGCAGTAAACACCAGGAAGGAATAATCAAAGATGGCATCAAAAGACCTACTACAGTCCTACCTCTGAAGTGAGATTCCGGAGTGTCTTGTTGGAGGACATCCAGCTGTGGCAGGGGCTGACCTGAGAGTAAGAAAACGCCACTTTGATGACAGAGGAACAAGGCCTGTAACAGGGAATGTGGCCTTGGAACAGGTCAGTGTGGGCTCACCTGGAGACAGTTCAGGAAAGAGTAGAAATGTGCATAGGTCACATCCTTATTCAGCTGACCTGGAAGACAGAGAGGTCTGGTGTGTCGTACATATTCAAATCTAGCAGCCAGTGAAACACACTTGTGGGTGACCATGTCTCTCCTGCAGAAGGGGAGCACTGCCAGGGACCTCCCCCGATTTTTCATTCAGCATTGCTCTTGAAGAACACCTGTGCATTCTTTCTTTCTGAGCGCCCTACAAATTCAGACTGAGCTGGGGAGTGGCCCTAGGGACTTTACTCCCATCTCGATCTTCTGGAGTGACTAGGGCAGGCCCTGAAAGGCCTGACCTTATTTGGAACCTAGGTAGAAGGATACAAAGGTACCATACAGACTGAAACGCCACTGACAAAGGACTTGTGGAGTGGTGGCTTTCTCCTGGCAATGATATGAGATGCTAAGTTCCCCTGGGGCACAGGGGGCATTCAAGATGGTAATTGATCAAACCCTTCTTTTCAACTTTATGTAACCCAATTATCTGCCCAATTATCCCATGCTAAGGACCTGCCAGGACATTCTGTGTGTCTTAAGTTCTGACCATGCACTATCCTGCAGTTTATTAGACTGAAAGCCTACAAAAGAGCTTGGGTGGCCATTGGATGGGAAAGGACAGTACATCATATCCCTTCACAGCCCAGTGCATACCTTATTTGAGCCCTAATTAGTAGATATACCCTAAATTTATTTTTTGGTGCAGGTTAAAGAGGTACATAAGAATAAAGATGGGGGTGCCTGGCTAAGTCAGTGAGAAGAGCATGCAGTTCTTGACCTCAGGGTTGTGAGTTTGAACCCCACATTGGGTGTAGACATTACTAAAAGAAATAAAATAAAACTTAAAAAAAAAAAGAATTAAAGTGTTAAGTGCTATATGTGAGTTCATCCAGAGTCTTTTCAAACATCAATTACAGGCCCAGAATCTGTGGGGGTTATTTCTTCTCTCTCCCCACACACCGCCCCTCTCTCCCCACCCCCACCTCCCAGCCTATCCACCCACAGAGGCAATTTGACTTTCATGCTGGGGCTGAGACACGAAACCCAGGCCCTCCCAGATCTCAGGGCTGAATAACTGATGTCTCATCCATTAACACTTCTCTCCCGCTTGAAAAAATAAAGGAAAATAATAGGACCTATCTCGGAGCGAAGAGAAAGATTGAAGGTGACGGAACACAGTCTTATTTTTCACTTATACCTCAGATCGGTTAGACTGAAAGATAGATTCAATTTTCTTGTCATAGAGGAAAAATATATTCTCTCTGTGTGGGTGAGTGAATCCAAGACTGGAAAACCACAGGCTTATTACCACCATTAAAGTCACAATGACACGCCAGGCCTCCTCTCTTCTCCAAAGGTGTCTGCATCTTCATATTTTAGATAAATCCCAAGCCACTGGCTTCTGTCTTTGCTTTCATTTTCTGCTCAACATGGAGCCCTGAGCTCCTGTCTTTCTCCAAGATCCTGCTTTCTACCACTGAGGCTTCTTTCCCTCTATTGTGTGTGTGTGTGTGTGTGTGTGTGTGTGTGTATTGTAATTTGTCTTTGTGGGGGTGCCTGGGTGGCTCAGTTGGTTAAGCTTCTGGCTCTTGATTCTGGCTCAGGTCATGATCTCAGGGTTTATGAGGTTGAGCCCTCTGTCACTGCAGAGCCTGCTGGAGATTCTCTCCTTCCCCTCCCCTGCACTCTCACACACTCTCATTCTCACAATAAATAAACTTAAAAGAAAAAAAGTGTCATTTGCCTTTCTGTATGTGTTCCCATCTGTCTTAGCCTAGACAGCTGCAGCGACTGACACCTCCAATCTCCACTCCCCATTCTCTATCCTCTGTGTCCCAGTGACTTGGCTCTTGCCCCCTGCTGGTACTACCTCTGAGTAGTAGTACTACCTCTGCAGCCTTCCCTCTGCCATCTTGTTTGTTGTTGTTGGGCTGGGGCTTTGTAATAAACCTTAGGTAGCTTAGCTGGGGCCCTGTCAACCTGCTTGGCCCTGATGAGTCCCCTCTTCCTGAGAAGTGGCCTCTCTCTCTTGCCCTTGTCCAATGGCTGAAGCCTTTTTAACCTGGGGGTGATGGCACCTAAGGCCTGACTATAAGTAAAGCTCTTGCACCTTCCCCTTTCCCACCTGGATTACTCTGCTATCCAGAGGGTCCAGAGATTGTCCTTCTCCTGGATATTGGGGACTCATCTGCTGACTCTCCTCGAGGGGTTAAGTCTTGACATAGCCTTGTTCCATCCTGGCTTACTCTTCCCTCCCTGCTGTCCTACTGCTGAGGTCCCAGCACACCTGAGCATGAGACCACAAGGTGTGTCTTTCTAGGCCTTCTCCCAATCCCTGTCCTTCCCCCCCCCCATTTTCTTGCTTTTCTGGCACTAATTTTAATTAGACAAGTCAATATAGGAAAAATCCTTAGGTGAGTAGGTGGGTCTGTTGAATAGGATAAAGGCATTCTAGCTGTACTTGGGAGGTAACTGGGAAAGATGTAATGGTTGGTTTCCCTTCTCTCTGGGATTTCTGCTGTGGAAGGTAGGGTGACTCTGGGCTGGCCATGTGGAAGGTCAGTTGGGAGTGCTTGTGATAGGCTTATGGTTTAAAGAAAGGGAAGCAGGGAAGTAGTTCTTTTCTCCACTTATTGGTGCTGTCAGTTCACTCTTTTTAGGTATTAGTTTTTATCTCTGTAATTTTAATGGTATTTTTGTAGATTGAGGAGCCTGGTATAAAGAGTGATCCTACCTATGTGTCATACCTATAAAGAGGCAGTGTCTGCAACATCCTGTTTAGAAAGTGAATCTGGTGAAGAAAGCTGGTCAAGAATGCCAGGACAGGGGCAAGAGGACTAGAATTATCAGGGCTGAGGAACTACCAGTGTGTGTGTGTGTGTGTGTGTGTGTGTGTGTGTGTAAGGGGTGGGGAGCCTGTGGACTGGCATCCAAAGATTAAAGGGCATGTTTTACCCCTACTGCCTAGAGTAGCAGCTTGTGTCTCAGTCATTTGTCAGTTCTTTAGGGCAGAGTCTTTGGCATTTACTCAATGCTGGGACCATAATTGAAATTTTAGGCACCATACCAACAAAGATCAGCTACACCTCCATGAAGTACCATCTGAATGTGTAAAACCTTAGTAAAACCACATGAAATCAGACAGGGAGTAAGCCAGTAATAAAACAAGAGGCATACTACAAGGTATTTTAGAATATATTAGGTTTCAAGTTTAAGAATAATTGGGACAAAATTAAGCTGTTGTTGATGTTTTGTGGCAGAGGTCTTTCAAGGAAGGCCTACTTGCAGGCTTATTTGTAGCCAGAAATCCTGAAATTTTTGATTATATAGTCTAATCCTTCAGGTAGCTCCCAGCCTATGACTTGTACCAGTGTCATTGACACAAGGTGATTTCACTGTCAGGATCTATATTGTATTTTCCCCAATGGAGTTTTCTTTTCTCTCTCTTTTGAGGACAAGGGCTCCATTTTAGTATCGTCTTTACCTCCAAAGCGCAGAATAGGTATCTCCAACATATTTATGGAAAGATTGCCTTTCTCATAGACTGTGCCCGAGAGGACTTATCCCTGGTCAAACTTGAAAAGATCTATGTAAGTAGAATCCTAATGTGTGAGATTTACTTTCTGGTGATTCTTCAAAAAGCCTATGCATCTTGCTAGGAATTTTAATTGCTGGTAAGGATTGTGGGGCTGTCACAGACGTTGGCATTGAGGCATTGACTGGGTAGTGACTCAAATAGGGCTAAAAGATGCTAAGAGGGATTTATTACCCCCTTCTCCTTGGCAGGAGTGAGCTAGGAATCTATTCTTGCCCTAGGCCTCCATTACCTGCCGATCTGATGTTGTAGCATTGAAACTTTTCCTAGGTGAATGGTCAGGCTGAGTTCCTACCTGTCCTACTGAGGCAGCAGAGAATGTATCACTGACCCAGGGGATCTCCTTGACCCCTTCTGCTTCCTGACAGCAGGCAGCCAGATGTAGGGTTTGAAATCATAAACTGTGAGATCACGACCTGAGCCGAAGTCAGAGACTTATCCGACTGAGCCACCTGTGCACCCCCTGACCTCTTTCTTGATCGTTAATGGGTGGCTACAGTCAAGTCTAGAGAGAATCCTCATCGTGTTTCTAGGCTCAAAGACAGAAGTAAATGGAACACCCTGTTTATTTGCCTACACAATCCTTAGCACTGTGCCCTGGGAATCAGACTAGGTATTTGACTATTGACTAAGATGAGACCGACCCTAACCTAGGCAGAGCAGCCAAACCCTGAGGCTGGCCCAGAATTAACCTGCTTTATTGCTGGCACATGGCTGGTGGGAGTAAAGGTCCAAAGATTAGATTTGAAGCCAGAGCAGAACTGGGACATAGGGTGATAGCCCTCCCCTCAAGCCTCTCATCTTATGTGAGTTATGTGCCAGCTCAAGGAGAAATGGGGAAGCTGGGTAAATCCCACCTACTTTTCTGGGCTGTCTAGGAAGGACACTGATGCTTCGTTGAGGAATTTATAATTTATTTCCCATGGCAACCAGGCAGCAGGGATAATTTAAGATATGAATAATAACTTAAAAACATTAAACAAATTTTAGAGGGTTTCAACTTTCTTCCTAATTGGATTTTTTTTTTCCAAAACCAGGGTTGTTTATATATAACAAATTTGTTCTACCTTTTCCTTCTTCCTCTTTTGTACTGTGAAATGCTAGTGCCTGATTAGTGGCTGGAGAAAGGCCATTTGAGAACAGGGCAAAACCTAAATAAAACAGGGTTTCTCAACCTTGGCACTATTGACATTTTTAGTTGTGGGTGGTTTTCCTGTGCATTGTAGCATGTTTGGGAACATACCTGGATTCTACTCTTTAGATGTTAGTAGCACACCCTCTCCAGTTGTGATAATGAGTAGGATGGGTAGGTTGTCCCTGGATGAGAACCACTGGCCTAGGGAATCCACCAAAGTGATTGATGAGTCCCCCAAGTCACCTTCTTTCCTTCCCTTGTTCCCTTCCAAATTGCATGGTGTCATTATTGCATACTGTGGTTGAGTGAAGTGAATTATGCATCATATATGAGAGAATTTACGGAGTTGTCTAACCGGAGTTCATGGAAAGAAAATGGAATTTGAAGTCAGAAAACCCAAAGTCAAGTCACCGTTGATGTGATAGAGTAAATTGGAAGCACATCTCCCCTTCCTTCAACTCCTCTTCCCCAGGCATTTCTTAGTATGGGAGAAATCTAGGAATCTGAAAACATCTGTTAGGGGAACTGAAATTTTCAACCCCAATGACTCAAAGAGACATTCTCGGCCCAAATAGTTGTCCTTTGTATGTTCAAGGCAGGCCAGAATGGAGTTAAGCTCTCTGTGTAAACATGTTACTATCTCTAAGGGTCAGCGTGAAAGCTGTGGGAACAGAAGGAATATGTTTTCCTCGTTGGAGGCTGGACAGTGTTTTTCTTGGATTAAAATGACATTTGGGGCACACTTGATAATTGAAGAGCAAAATGACTTCAGTCTTATTGGTGGGAATCCTAGAAAATGGGTATTTATTGTTGTCCCCCTGGTGACGGGACCAGACTCCTTTGACAAGTGGTTAGAGGGAAACTGCTCATTTTGTGTGTGAGGAGGGGTGGAACTTTCTGAGGGAGGTGGTGGTAAGGGGTTGGCTTAAGCAAGGACTACAGGAGGAGGAGGAGGAGGAGGAGAAGAAGATACTGGAAAGATACAGAGAAGTTATTAATACAAGGGAAAGCTCTCCACCTCCACCCTCTAAGGTGGGCACTGAGGAAGGAATTTCAGGTTTTTCCCTTTAAATTGCTCATCTGACTCATTAGAAACTGCTTGGACCTCCAGAACACTTTAGTAGGAGTTGGTCTAAAGAGGAGGCTATGGCAATATCAGGGAAGGGGCAGACCTTTTTTTTTTTTTTTTTTTTTTTTTTTTTTTTTTTTTTTTTTTTTTAAATTTTTTTTTTTAACGTTTATTTATTTTTGAGACAGAGAGAGACAGAGCATGAACGGGGGAGGGGCAGAGAGAGAGGGAGACACAGAATCGGAAGCAGGCTCCAGGCTCTGAGCCATCAGCCCAGAGCCTGACGCGGGGCTCAAACTCACGGGCTGTGAGATCGTGACCTGAGCCGAAGTCGGACGCTTAGCCAACTGAGCCACCCAGGCGCCCCGGGGCAGACCTTTTAATGAGAGATTGGCACAGGCGTTGTTGACGTGGGGCTGAAGGGAGGGTACACAGGCCCCTTGTTGTAGGTGCCTGTCAGAGAGGACTGAGGCCAGCACTTCCCATCCCCCTTCCCTGCTTAATTTTCTCTAATAACACTTATCATCCTCTGACATGCTCCCACTGGAATATAAGCCTATTGGTTTTGATTACTGTGTTCGCTGTTAGTTATGCAGTGCCCAGAACAGTGCCTGGCACAGTAAATATTTCTTGAAAGGACTTTCTCCCCCCAAACACCGAGAGAGCCCTGCTACACCCACATTACATATACAATAAGCTATACAACATTTGGCAGGGTGCCTGCCTCTCTGAGCCTTAGGTTTTTCATCTATAAAATGGAATTAATGAAAACATTTTACAGGATTGTTTTAAGGATCAGCATGTCAGGCCTTCCTGATGTGAATTATTACTACTTTTACACTGTTTATAAAACGTATGGATGCTAGAGATGCTATTGGAAGTTTCTGGAGATCTTGAAAGCGTTTTAGAGCCAAGGATTCCCAGTGAGTGTGGGAGCAGGAAGCAAGGCCGCTGGAAGATGTGTTGTGTAGAATTTTAACTGTCCACCAGAGTCCACAGAATTTGTTAGAATTCTGGCCACCAGGGGGCACTCACCATTGAGATTTGGAGAAATCTTTCTCTTCCACAAGAGCTTTATCCGCTTATTCTAGATTTCACTTTTTGTTAAAGGAGTTTCTTGATTTAAACTCTTACCTTTCAATTTGTCCTAATTCTACATTAAATATTTCTGCCCTTTCTGACTTTGGATCCGGTTCTGCTCACCTTTAGATACTGACCTTTATATCCACACCTCAGGGCTCTTGCCCTTACCTGTTCTGACCTGTGCACTATGGTGGCATTTTAGGTGTATTCCTATATGGTTTGGACCACATATATTTGAACTATGTATAGCTAACATTGTTAGTTAGTAAACTAACTATATATAACTAACATTGTTAGTACAATTAGCAAAAGTATCTTCAAACTAATACCGAGAGGATAATATCTGTTGTGCAAATTATCCCAGAGAAACGTTCCATTTGGTAAGCCATATAAAATAACATGGCTGCCATTTGGCAGGTGGGAATTTAGATACTTCAGAGTCTTCATGACACTGGAGTATAATTTCTTAGGAGTAGTCATTTCTGGGACTGGGTCAGCTTTCCTGTTGGTGAAAGAAACAGAAAATATCTTAGTAGATAAGGATAAATGTGTACACATACATGATCCCCCCTGGCCTCCTCCCCACGCCCCATACATACAATGTAGTAGCTATTGATGCTATTTGCAAAATACTTTGGGTTTCCTGACTCTCTTGTGGTTGGGTGGGCCATGTGACTGGTTTGGCCTATCAGACTGTGAGCAGAAGTGTCATACGTCACAGTTGGTGATATGAGAGCCTCTAAAATGCTCTTTGCCATGAGTCTGCACTATGTTCCATATAGCAGCTGCTTCACTAATCTGAGTCCTAGAATAGAGCCCCATGGTGATCCCTGGTGGACAGTGGAGTATGAGTAAATGTTTTTTGCTTTACGCGACTAGGATTTGAGGCTGTTTGTTCCTGCAGCATGAGCTTACCTATCCTGACTGATATACACAGTTAATGGAATCATAGGAGTCTGGTATTATTATTTGTTTGACCCTTTGAATTCTGTAACTTCGTCTTTAAACTCTTCACATATTATCACAGTTAGGAAAATACAACCTCTCTGAGAAACAAAATGACATTATGTATCCACACAACATCCTTCTTTTCTACATTGAATGTGAACATACACACATTTAGGAATATATCAAGTTTGAATTAAGGTACTAACTTGCATTATCCTGGGAGTAGATTATAGAATTCTCTAAGATTTTCATCTACTCTTTAGGGTTAAAACTGCCTTTTGTTAACCTAAATGGAATAAAAAGTTGTTTTCTATTTTGAGCCCTTAAAATTCCAAAGTTACATAATGATCTTATAGTGGTTTGAGTGGTGTCCCTCAGAATGTGACCTTATTTGGAAATAAGGTTTTTGCAGATATTAAGATGATGTCAAACTGGGTTAGAATGGGCCCTCAATCCAAAGACAAGTGTCTTTATAAGAAGAGAAGGTGTTACACAGACACACAGGGAAGAAGGCCATGTGAAGCTGGAAGCAGAGACTGGAATTACGTTGCCACAAAACATAAGGAAGGATTTTCCCTTAGACCCTTCAGAAAGAGCGTGGCCTTTTGAGACCTTGATTTTGGACTTCTAGTCCCTAGAACTGTGAGAGTTGTTTGAAGTCACCCAGTTTGTGGTATTTTGTTATGGCATCCCTTGGGAACTTAACACAGATTCCAAACCAGGCAAAGGAAGTCTATTACTCACAGGCTGGACTCAAGGCATGAGTGACATGGAAGGAAGGGACTGAAAGAAGCCCCGGGTAGATCCACTTTAAAAACTTTTTTTTCTTTTTTAAGGTTTTAAGTAATCTCTCCACCCAAAGTGGAGCTTGTGCTTACAACCTCCTGAGATCAAGAATCACAAGTTCTACCTACAGAGCCAGCCTGGCACCCTTGCACTGTTATCAGTTTTAAGGGAGCTTCTAAATGACATTGGAAATGTACCAACATTTGAAGTTGGCTTAACTTTTGACCTTGAAATTTATAGTAACATTTCCACAAATGTGCAAAGATGTACATATAAGTATTGCAACATTGTGTGAAATAGTGTAAAGTTAGAAAATGCTAAAAAGCCTGGCTACATAAATTATAGTACACTCATGAAGTAGAATGGGATACAGCCAGTAAAAATAATGAAGTAACTAGACACAGGTGATGGTTATACAACACTTTGAATTACTAAATGCCACAGAATTGTTCACTTTAATTTAATTTTTTTAAATTTGCATCCAAATTAGCATATAGTGCAACAATGATTTCAGGAGTAGATTACTTAATGCCCCTTACCAATTTAGCCCATCCCCCCTCCCACAACCCCCAGAATTGTTCACTTTAAAAAGGTTAATTTTATATTATGTAAATTTCATCTCAATAAAATAAAAATTTTTTTAAATAATGAAGTAATCTGTAGGTGTTAGCATGGAAAAGTATTGTTGATTGAAAAGAACAAATTATAGAGTAGTAAGCATAATATTATTTCATTTCAATGAGCATTAATCAGTCCGTAAATTAGAATTTGCATAGACAAAATCTGGATGCAAATACGTTAAACTGTTTCCATTGGTTAGCTTGGAGCAAGGTGGTGGGGGTGGTTGGTAGGCAGTGATGTTGGGGAAACTCACGTCCTATGCCCTGTATTATTTGAACTTTTCATAACAGATGTTATTTTGTAATCAGAAAAATAACAACAATAAAACAGATTCTCATATTATTTTTATTCTTTCTAAAGTAAGGGGGGGGAACTGGACTCTACCTAAATTTTAATGGGAGGAGCAGAAAGCATTGTAATTTACGTCATTTCCACCCCCCCCTCCCCCACTAAGTTCACTTAGTCAAATAAAATCACTTTCTAAATTGCTGCTATCCAGAAGGGACAGGTTGATCCCGGATGCGAGGTTCACTTTGGCTAATTTGTGACAAGCAATATGTACCCATACAGAGAAAAAGGCAGAGAAAGTCTGATTTAGGGTTTGTGGGTAGGGTGTTAGTTGTGGATTATATACATGCTTCTACACTACATAACAGGTTTCTTAGACCCCCCTCCCCCGCCAAATAAAAGAAAAAGAAAAGAAAAGAAAAGAAAGAAAGAAGAAAGAAGGAAAGAAAACGTTGTCCTATTTTACCCTAGCATATAGAACAGACTGCTAAATTCATGTTTTTTTACCTTGGGAAAAAACATACTACTTTATGAGTAAAAATCTTCCTAATTTGCATATAAAGCTCTCATAAGGATTTGACAATAGGTTGCATACCTACCAAACGCAGAAGGCTGGGTAGGGGTTTTGGCTTGACTTGCATATGTGTAGAAGTGCTAGAAGGATCTCAGTTTGTGAAGGGGATTTAGGCTGCCTTGTGGGTTTGCTCAATGCAGGAGGACCCACCCAGAGTAACTGGTTTTATTTCACTGTGTGTGTTGAATGTGACAGTGAGGATGAAAGGGAAGCAAGCTGGGTGTCTATACCCTATGTTCAATCACCAGTAAGGGTACCACATAGTGCTTATTAACTTTTGCCTTGGTACCTCAGTTTTTTGTTTTTTTGTTTTTTCCTGCTGATACACTAGCACTTTGGCACGAAGCAATTATGCTGAGCTATGGCTCTCCACTCACATAAAGCCAAGATGAGTTAAGATGGAGAAAAGTCTCCCAAACTCCCTATTTAATGATTATTTTTTGGCTAGAGACACAGCCCTGATGATAACAAAGAATCTGAGCTAATTTGTGCTTTTGCACCAGCACCCCATAACTGAACCAAGCATTACCCAAATGACTAATTACTCAGTGAAATCAAAATGGAAGCCTTGGTGTTGATGATGGAACATTCTCCAGTCATCTTTGCTCCATCATGTACAGCACATTGATATGTGCATTGTCAATCAAACCCTTCGATGTGCATAGCAAAATTACCTGATTTTTTAAAAATTTTTCTTAATGTTTATTTATTTTTGAGAGGGGGGAGGGGGAGGGGCAGAGAGAGAGGGAGACAGAATCTGAAGCAGGCTCTAGGTTCTGAGCTGTCAGCACAGAGCCTGATGTGGGGCTCAAACCCACAAACTGTGAGATCATGACCTGTGCAGAAATCAGATGCTTAACAGACTGAGCCACCCAGGTGCCCCCAAATTAACTGATTCTTAAAAAAAATTTTTTTAAGTAAGCTCTAGGCCCAATGTAGGGCTTGAACTCATGACCCTAAAATCAAGAGTCACATATTCTACCCACTAAGCCAGATAGGGACCTCCAAATTAATGGATTCTCAGTTCAGGCAAGGGCACATGGGTCTAAGTGATAGGTGGTGGGTCACTTCTTCTGGATGCCATACAAGGTGCCTTCTGACTCTGTCCCTGAAAAATCCTCAATGCCATTTTGGTCTGGGTACTGTTTCTCCTCTGGTGGTTTTTGAGGAGAATTAGCATTAGCGTTTTGGAGACCACAGTTCCAGTGGTTTGGGAAACATCTCTTAGGCCTTCTCTGATGTCCACCAAAGGTTGAATGGGCTGAACTGCAAGCGTCTAACCCTCTTCAACCCACGTTTTCTGGAGCCTGTGTGGGGTCCACTCTGCCAGCCTGGATTTGCCTGCACACCCCAGCGCCCTGCACCCCTTCTCACTCACTGATGAGCTCCTGCCAGTCACCCAGACGGAGAGGTGAGGGGTTAGGGGAGCTGAGCTCACAGAGGGAAAGCCTGGGACATGTGAGGCTTCCACTAGGGAAAATGATGAGAGAGCAGCCGGTGCCCTCGGCTGTGCTTTCAAAGGTCAGGAACACACGGCAGGGGAAAGACAAAGAGTCTCACCTCCTGGGTGGCTCAGAGCCTGTCCTTGTCCTAATGAATTGTGTCTGATCATGAAAATAAGCCCCGTGACTTGGGTGCAGGGCCGGCTGTGATCTTTTCATTACCCTGGCAGCTATTCCAGCCAGATTTCATCTGGCTGATGCCAGAGAGATGTGCCCCCTCCTAAGGATGAAGGCAAACAGCCTCTGTGGAAAATAGTTCCCAGAACCTGAGCGAAAGCCCAGAGGCTTGTCATGACTGAGTGCTCGGACCTCATGCACAGCTAGCATTTGAGCTTCTAAGCGGCCAGGCAATATAGTCAGCCCTTTCTGCAGGCCAGCCAGTTGTAATCACATCTCTGGCCTCGCACTCACCCCCCCTCTAAGAGGCGTCTTGCCATAGACTGGGAAGGAGATGGGAACGCACTGGGCCCGCATTACCTCATGCCTAGAGATCCTGGGTCCCTGGAAGTGGGTGTGCCTTGGAGCATGCTGGCTGCTTGGGAACCTCCTTAGCCTTCCCATGGCCACCCATGCCTCAACTGAGGAGGCCGGGAGATAGAAATGCTCTGAGCATTTCTTTCCCTGTCGGTTTTCCTACCATTTGAGTAGATAGAATGGATTGTTTCCCTCTCCCTGGGGAGCACGTTGGTACCTACCAGCACATTGACTGGTTTCTTCTTAATGCAGTGCTGATCATCTGCCCTAGGTGACATCAGAAACACTGACATTGCAGACAAAAAAATAATGCTTGGGGGCAGGGGAGGCAGACAACCTGTCATAGGGGGGCCCTGGTTCTTTCCATTAGGTGAAAAACGTACAGTTAATTATTTCTAGGTCGACTATAAAGAAAAATGGACCATGTCAATCGATGTGGATAGTACTGGATGTTTTCAAAATTCTATCACATTGCTGACAATTGCAATGTTCTTGTCAGGGATGTCATGTTGGGATGGGGGCGGAGGAAGGGTTTATGATGTGAGGCCCTTAAGGACATTCCCATTTCCCATGCTGCCCCTGCAAGGTTCTGCTGCTGTAGCTCACCCAAATCTTCCCTATTTCCAGGAATTTTTCTCCTTCTGTATCATTGACCTTCCATAGCTTTTAAGGGCAGTGACAGGAAAGGCCAGGGGAAGCTGGGTTAGCTTTGGCCAAATTGACTACAATCACAATGAGAAAGCTGGATGTGTCTATGTTACCTTTCTTCTTAAATTCCAGATACTAAAAGCTGTCTTCCAATCCTGGCCTTCATTCATTTAACAAGTATTCATTGAGTAACTGCATGAGTTGAGTGAATTGAGAAAGAAGCACATAGCTACATTATTTCAGTACATGCTAGCTAGCATCCTCATGTAAAAAAAAAAAAAAAAAAAAAAAAAAAAAAAAAAAAAAGAAAGAAAGAAAAGAGAAAAGTCAAGCAAATATCCCCAAACTTGTTCCAGGACGGACTTATTATGCAACTCATTGCTAGCTTGAGCTTTTTATGAAATTGCTTTGCTCATTTTGGGTTGTCTACTCCACCTTGACGTTCTGGCAGATGGGGAGGTATAGCTGCCATCTGCCTTTATTTTTCTAACCCCACCACAGGACATTGCAAAGTGGGCACCACAGGGACATCCCACACTGCCAACACTGTTCTTTCACCCAAATGCTTGCTGCTTCTCTGCCCAGATCCCTGGCGGGGGGAGCGGCTGGCACAGGTCTCTGGCTGATGTCTGCCTTGCCCTTTGGCTCTTTGGAAAAGGAAAAGCAGGACTGGGCTGGAAGGGCCTCTGAGTAAGCAGGTTCTGTTGCAAAAGTGCAGTTTCAGGGGTTTGGACTCTTGGAGTCAAAGCCGCTTTCCGCAGGTGTTCTTTACTCAGTATCACTGGTTTGCTCTCTATCCCCCCCCCAGGGGAATATGATCCAGAGGCTAGCAGGGCACTGGCTGGTCTGACATGGGTTCAGTCTGTTTGGTGATGGGACTGGGGTTCCTGAAGCTCAGTGCTTCTCCTTCTAGAAGCTCCTTGTGGTCAGGCACTGTGGCCTGTTTGCCATAACGCCCCAGAGCCTGGCACAGCATTTGGCACATCATAGGTCGTTAATACATACTTTTCAAAAAGCGACTGTCTCAAAGAAAGCAAATAAGGCAAGTGTGGATTGTGGAAAGAGCACAGAACTGAGTCAGAGAACCTGGTCTGCATCTCAAACTTGCTACTCATTCAGTATTAGTGAGTTCCTTCACCTTGCTGAAACTGTTTCCTCATCTGTAAATTGGGGACAATCATACTTTTGTCTTAAGGCTGCTGTGGGGATGAGATAATACAGAGTGGTGCAGCTCTTGGCTCATGGAAAGTTTTGTGGGTGTTTGCTATTTACCAGAGAGTTCCATGTGGCTCATCGCAGAGGTTGGGACTTTGGTCCCCAGTGTGTTGCTTTGGGAGTCTTAGGGTTCTGGGGAGGGTGGTAAACCAGCCCAAGGTGTGCCAAAGCAGGGTCTGGCACTCAATATCTTTGCAGGACAGCATGGTATCTCTTGGCCTGAACTCACTTCACTAATTAAGTTTACAGCTCCTTCACTGTGAGAGTTCCAGGGCTCTCACAACTTGTGGAGTTATTGGTGAGGGCAAACACGTTTTCATAACATTGAACTGGGTCTTTAACACAGACTTAGAAAGCTTGGTGAGTGAAAGCAAAGGGTGGGCAGTGAGTAGAATGACCTATTTCTAGTACCACTTGGCTTGGAGGCCAGCTCTGCCATTAATCAATTAATCAAGCAAGTCACATAATGTCTCTTGGCTCTGCTTTTCTGTTTTCTAAAATGGTGGGTGGGTGGGTGGCTACTGGGGAGTTGTTCTAGATCTGATCTCACCTTTTTTTTTTTCTTTTTGGCCACAATCACAGGACAGATGGCATTCACATGTGCAGCATATTCTTAGGGGTACACACAATTTTTGAAAAACCTTCCAAAATGGTGTGGGGGAACTAAGGCATTCAACACTTTGAAATCACTACTGATATTAGCAGTTTAGCAAAACTGCTTTCTTACTGTGGGCCATGGGCATACATAAAATTGGCCATAAATGATACACAATCCTTTTGCAAATGCTCTAAGCCTATGCTGTCTCTGCCATGAGTACCTATATCAGAATATAAGTGAGGAAGCTATTCTTATGGGGTAGCAGAAATTCAGCCTTATTTTATTTAAAAGGCCGTTATATTCAGTTTGGATTCTTGGCTAGTAGCAGCATCTATCTTGTGCTACAATTGAGAACTTGTAGCATGACATACCCATTTGTTGTGAGTTGGAACAGAGAATTAATGGATCAGATCTTTTTAAAAGGGCCTTTCAGCTTTACAGGTTGGTTCCGTTGATTTCACATATGTCTGGGACTTGCTAAGACAGAGAAATTCAACTCAACTGCAGGTACTGGGACGCAGTGGAGTGCAGTGGAGGACAAGGAATCCAGAGTCCAAGAATTTAAAACTTTTTTTTCTCCATAACTCACCCATTGCAGACATCGTTTCCAATCATGGCATATATAATGATGGCTGGATGATCCAACAGTGGGTCTCTGGACAAACTGAGAAACATAGATGGGATATGAATGGCAAACACTCAGAAGCCGTGCTTTGGAACTGATGTCACAGCCTGGATCTGTGAAAGGATCTTTGCGTGGCCCCCCTTTTGGATAACATTTTGCTATTTTTCTTTCATTCCAGTACCACCATTCTCTTTCCCTCTTCTTCTGTATAATCTGTAACCCACTTCCCCATTAGGGAAAGACCACAGAAGTAAACAGAATTGAGAAGAGTGGATTGAAGTCTCCAGGAGGCACACGTGATGCCATCTTTTTAGGACCTTTCCCAGCGTTTTTCATCAAGTGTTACTTGGTTACTTCTGTCCAGATTTGTAGGACATCCCAACATCTGTGTATTGAACTTCAAATTCAAGGTTTTCTCAAGCTTTCTCTCTGGGAACCCAGGGCCTTGCTTCTGAATTTTAAGCTCAAAATGAGCACATAAAGCAAGAAAATGAAATACATTTTTTTGGTCTTTTGTTCAGCAACTTTGGCCAGACCTAAATTTGATCCCCTTTGTATGCGTTTTTTATGATTCTTCTTAAAGAACATATGCAAATTAATCACTTCCTATGCCCACGGGTCCAAGAAGTGATAATGTCCCAATGTTTGGGAGTGGCTAGTAAGGTACTGGTACTCAGTACAAGTGATTACAGCGTAGCCACAGAGGGTTTTCATTCTTTGTTTTTAAATCAGAAACCCAATCTAAAAACAACTTCTTATATCCCACTTTCACTTACCTTTCTATAAGTCTGTCCAGGTTTTGGGAAGATGCACCTGAATAATTAAAAGACAATAATTAAAGGTAGTGAGCTCAATTCAACACGATTGGGATGATAGTCTGATTGACTGAAATCATGGAAGAAGCATCACTGTGCAACCAGACATTGTCTGCACCATCACACAGATGGGAAAGCTTCATTCTCCTTAAAGAGTTTTCTGTTTATGTGGCATTATATCAACATGATCCTAAATTCTTTGGATTTCCAAGTCTCAAGATATTTCCTAAGCATGAATGAGTAAGCTTTCTAGTAGATGTGAGAACATGATATACATCTATCACCAAAGAGAAACTACTCCAAAGATCATCAGGTGAGGGATGAGAAGAAGTCAAAAAGGATTCTTTGAGAACTAGCCATCTCCTTAGAAAGCCCCAGTTAATCACCTGCTGGGATCCCTGCTCACTCCTGAGGCTCCTCCTGGCTGGCTGGTCTGTTCAAGGTTCAGATTGTACAGCTGATATATGTAAACTCCTGTGATGAATGACCACCCTCCCCCTCTCCTTGCTACCACCTGTAATGTATCTCTTATGTGAAAATTGTATTTATTGGATACTCATTTTATTGTGGACACACTGTTAGGTACTTATATTATTAGTTCATTTACACCTTGGCACAACTGTGTGAGGTAGGTATAGTAGTATTCCCATTTTATAGATGAGAAAAGTGAGGCTTACTTAAGTGACTTGCCTAAAGCCACACAACTAATAATATGGAGAGCTGCTTAAACCCAGTCCCTTCTGTCTGTAATGCTGAGCTCTGGCACTGCTCCTTTAGGCTGGGAGTCTAGAAAGAGTGAACCCATATAGGTTTATTGCTAGTTTGTCCCTTGGAGGCTGGCCGGCAGTAACGAGTAATCATCAGCTGGGTGACAAGGGACGAGGAAGATTCTCCTACAATTTCCAGCCTTAGAAGCCTGGGGACAGGTGCATCTTATGACAGAGTCAGTGAGTGTTCTTAGAGATCTGCAAAGAGAAAAGGGGAGTGCACAGCCATGAAGGCCATGATGGCCCGTGTTTCCCTGAATCAGTGTGACCACAAAGTGACTGCCTCTTCTTCAAGTGCAGTACAATCAAGCTATATGGGCAGTGCTGATGTTCCCTTGGTTGACTCAGGAATGTCAGCACATTAAATGGATGTTGCTTTATTTCCCTTTTTTTTTGTGTTAAATATACCACCCATAAACTTCACCATTTTAACTTTTTTGATCATCCAAGTGGCTTTAAGTACATTCACATTATTATGCAACCATCAGCATTAACCATCTCCAGAACTTTTCCAGCATCCCAAATTGAAGACTTATACTCATTAAGGAATAACTAGGTCCCTCATATAGGTGGAATCATAATATATTTGTCTTTTTGTGCCTGGCTTATTCCATTTACCATAATGTTTTCATAGTTCATTTGTAACATGTGTTAGTATATCCACTTTTTTAAAGGCTGAATAAGTTTCCATTGTATGGATCTATACATTCATCCGTTGATAGGCCCTTGGTTTGTTTCTACCTTTTGACTATTGTGAATGATGCTGCTATGAACATTGGTGTGCAAGTATCTGTTTAGGTCCCTGCTTTCAATTCTTTTAGGTATATACCTAATTTAAATTGCTGGACCATATGGCAATGCTATGCTTAATTTTTTTTTTGAGGAACTGTCATACTGTTTTTTTATTCCCTTTATGTTAGTGAGGCAGGGTACATTTGACATGAACACAAACATAGAAATTAAGAGCAGTCAATTCATCTCCGCATGCATGCATCCATTCACCCTCTCCATTGGTTTGCTGAACACCTACCATGTGCCTGACATACAGTAGGGAGTTGACAAATGGGTTGGATGCAGACTCTATGTCTGAGGAGCAGCATTTAAAGGGGGTAAACACATAACTGAGTGCTGGTGAAAGTTTTAATGCCCATCCAAACCCAACGAGAATGTGCCAGATTTTACAACACTGAGTCCTAAATGTACAGACTCAAAGACTTTCTGGGTGTTAGAGGGTTCCCATCGTTCTCAAGAGGAAAGAGAAGGAGGGCAGCCATTGCCTGCTGACATATCCCATGGTGTCTCACTCATCTCATTGGCTGGCCTTTCATTCAGTTCCAGCCCCATGACTCTCAACTTCCCATTTTCAATAGGATAACAATCAAGAGGTGTTTAATTCTCACTCTTTGATTTTTCTTTTAATGAGAAATGAAAACTAATGAAAGCTCAAGCCATGAGTGGGAAAAAAATTAAAGGACCAGGTCAGGCCAATAATTTTCCTCATTATCCAGACTGCAGCTGGGAATTTGAGGTGCTGAGCACCCACAGAGCTGGAGGGAAATGAAAATGAAAACCTGTCATGGCTTGCCACATGGGCCGCCCCCTCCCAGTGCCCACACCACCCACATCCCTTTGCTGCTCAGGACAAGGATGGCAGGCCAATTGCAACTGGGTGTGGCGAATTTCAAAACAACAATCACAAACTTCCACTCAAGGGGAGAGAACATGCCTACTCTTCTTTACTCAAATGTTAAGGGTTTTTTTTTCTGCTGAATATTTATAATATGAGCACAGAATTTTCTGTTTCCAGAGTTGTTGTGCCTTCCATGATTTATATTTCCTTTTGGGAATCTCAGTTTTATGAAATTATGTAATTAGGTAATTTCCACATCACTCTGTCTTCTTAATTCCCGTTTCCTGTTGTCCTGCTACCTTTTTTAAGCCCCATCAACATTTGCTGTCTCTCTCCCTCCCAAGCCCTCTTGTCTTCCTCCTCTTGTATATAGACTTCTTCTCAGCTGCTGATTTTACTGCTGCTGTTGTAGAAAATACTGAAGCATTTGGAACTGGAAGATGTGAGCAGGAAAGAAAGACAGCCCCTAGCCTGTGGGATGTGGCAAAACAAGGGGGACATTTGAAGAACTGTAACTACCCTTAAGAGATCCATAGTCTGGTCTCTACAATTATAGTTCAGAGAAATGGAAAAGGTGTGACTATGAAATAGGGACATTTTATTTATTCATTGAAGTGGTCCAATGGAGAATTAAAGGAATTATTTCCCCAATTAAAGGAAGAAGGGGGTCTTTTTTGGCCATCAGAATCTGAATTCCGGCTCATTTAGTGCCTTTTTTCCTAACATTTATTTATTTTGAGAGAGAGAGAGAGAGGGGAGGAGGGGCAGAGGAGGGAGGGAGGAAGAAAGAGAGAGAGAGACAGGGAGGGAGAGAGAGAGAGAGAGAGAGAGAGAGAGAGAGAGAGAGAATCCCAAGCAGGCTCTGCACAAATTGTGAGATCATGACTCACATTGAGCTGAATTGAACTGAAATCAAGAGTCAGAAGCTTAACCGACTGAACCACCCAGGAACCCCTCATTCATTGCATTTTAAATGAGGAATTGTGCACTGCAAGGAGAGAAGAAGGGTTTCACATAATCTCAGCATTGGTTGTTCTCCCATAAATAAATTTCAGTGTACATTTCCACTCCTGGATCAGTGTTGACCATAGCAGCAATTCCTTCATATTCTGGGCATTCAGATCAACTGGTAAGATGCTTTTCATGGTCTTCTAAATGAGCTTGTAACTTTCTGTGCCTGGCCCAGAACAGAAGTGCTCTGTCTCAAATTATTCATGGGAAAAGATGAAGTATATTTAAATATAACAGGTCTTCAGAAATTAATGCATTAATTTGATAACACTTATGGACTACTTCCTGTGTGCCAGGCATTGCAATAGATGTTGGGGACACATCAGTAAGTAGAACAGATACAGTCCCTATTTTTATGAAGTTTATAGTTCTGAGGCAAATAATGAACATAAAGTGTGAGGATTCAGAGAAGCCCTGAAGAAGTGTTAAGCTGTGCACTGAAAGAAAACTAGGTGTTTCCTTTCTTGATGTTCGAAGACAATAACTTGTTAATTAATTTCCGATAAAATATTTGATGCTTTTTTATACATGATGCAGAAAGAAATCCCAAGTTTAAGGCCATTTTGCTATAACTGTCTGAATAGGACAAGTGAAGATCCAGGTTTCAAGTTCTAAAGCTTATATAATTTGAAGAAATTATAAAGAATCCTCTTTAAGGAAAAGGACACAAAACAGAAAAATGAGACCTGACATAAAGGGAAGCCAAAGTGGGAAGAAAGAAGGGTCTGAACCAATTGTGGTTAGATATCTTAAGTTGGAAAATTTTACAAATTCCTATGGTCACCAAGCTTGGGAGGCCCTCAAGCTAGAATATCATTAGCTTCATAACTCTGCCTCTTGATGCTCCTTAAAGGTCATGTGTGAAGTCTTGGGGCATCAGTGCCAGGTGGGACCTCCAAGAGCATGTGATCAGGCAGCCCACTTTCCAGATGAGGCCCAGGGGCAGAAAGAGACTTGCTCAAGGTCCTACAGCTAGTAAGCGGTAATCCGTTTCAGATGTCAATTTAACAATACACATTAGTAATGATTGAACTAGATCATTTTAGTTCCTATATGAGAATATGTGAATTATATTATTCATTCTTCTATGAGACCCTATCGCTGCTAGGAGACCCCTTTCCCACTTCCTGAGTGAGAACTGAAGGTTTTTTTCTCTGTGCCTCTGTCCACGTCTGGGTTTTGGGGAGCCTTGAGACTAGGTCGGGAGATATCAGAAGACAATAAAATGCTAATCTCACTGCTGGTTTGGTGGTACTCATTCTGGTCTTCTTCTTCAATCGATCTGCTACTATTTACTTTTCAGAGTCTTCTAGCACCTGCTCCATACTTTCTGACAAGGCTTTATAGCAGCTTTCAGGGGGGCAGGCTGGGTGGAGCATACTTACTCTATTGTACCCAGAACCAGAAACCTAAGAAGCGTTATAGAGAGTATAAAATGTTCATGGAAAATGTGCCATCATACACAGACATAAAGTAAATCTAATAATGTTTTTTAACTTTCATTAGATTTTAAATAATGCAGATTTTGCTCGTATTTTTATAATTGAGGAAGCATTTTGAAGAGTATGATGTGTATACATCCAGTTAAAA